AAAGGACCTTTTATTTTGTTTGAAGGTAGATGGGGTTAACGTGACAAATGCTACGCAAGGAAAAGTAATGGATTTAATCAAATTTGCTGATAGAAGGGTTCTGCTGCATATCAAGAAAGTTAGTCATGACCAGGTAAGATTAAGGGGACAGCTTCTACTTTCTTGGGTTTCTCCCTTRACTCGTTGTCAAGAGTATCTTTTAAATCTTCCACTAAAAAAAATGCTGCAAGGGGTCTACGTTTGAGGGTTTAATCTGTTAGTTAATCAAAAGGRCTTTTCTCTTTTTCTTCTGTCTATATAGCCAATAATATGCTTCTTAATTTTCTAGCTGGAGAAAAAAAACTCATCAAACGTAAGCCAAAAATTTGACGCAGAAAAGCTGGAAGGTGAGAAATTTTAGTTAACGTAACGTAACCTTTATGCGTGGCGAGGGAAGCATATCTTGGAAGTGTGCTATTCGTACAATGCAGTTGTGTTCCTTGATTGCATATTCATATTTAACTTGTAACTGGAGCTGTAATTTCTGCTCATTACAAAAGATAGGTTTGCTTTCATTTTTGAAATGTATACTTTAAATTGGTAATGGAGGCTTTGCCCCAACAGGTCCCGGCACCCATAATACAGCTTGGACTGCCTGTGGTTAGATGGCAGAACAATAAAATCAGTCTCTTTGCTCTACTCGTTATTACAATTATTTCTTATGTTAAAAKATTGTATTGTTCCTGCCATCTAACATGGCTGCCGTCACGCGATGTTGAAAAGCCTTTATGGGCGTTAGTAATAGGTAGCTGATCTATGATTTAAAGTTAACGATTAAGTAGGTGGCTCTTACCCTTAACCAAAATATTTCCCCTCAATTACGATTGCTTTATTTTAGAATACGCTAATGCTTTTGAGGGGTACTGTAAAGGAACGAATCAAAAAATCGAAGCATCAGTACTACCAAGACTATGCCGAGCCCTTGGGTTCAACTTAACTGCAAAGGACGTGGAGTACATGGCGACAGCCAATCACAACGGTAAAGAACTTTATTATTGACCTTCATTTAAACTTTTTCGGCTTGGACGTAATGTTTTCACATATCAGACCACCTGCCATTCTCTAGAGTGTTATTTCTTTATTTAACGGTTATGCATGAGAAGACACATCAATATCGATACAACTCAAATAAGTAATCTTATTTTCAAGAAAATGACACGTGGTTCTAAAATAAGGAAACAT